GCACGAGAAGTGCAAAAACGCATAATCGCACCGGCCCGCCTGGTGCGTTCCAGCCTGGGTTCTTATGCCGATTGCAGTGCTCAAATTAGCACTAGACTAACTGTTAATTCGAGCAGAGCATGGAACTTGTTACCTTATGTGGTCAGTTTTTACGGGTTTCAGTAGTTAGTTCTTTTTTGAGCAACTCTTCGAGTAAGTGGATGTGTTGCTAGGCTCGTTAATATTCCTGGCTTTTGATGATCTGTTGTATGAAACTGAACAAATTTATAACGCACACCATGAGGTTAAAAAATCGCTTGGGATTGTTTTGCCGATTTTAAACGAAAAAAGTGGTACGAAACGAATGTCAGAGGTGATAGACTATTAGGCGGCGTAGGTCAAAATTGCCAGCTGAAAGTTGGAGATTGGGATAACACAAATCAGTGTAACTTGAATGCACTAATTTACAATGCTTCTGAAGGGAAGTCACAAAGCTAGGCTGCTAATGCCATCAGCGGAGTTCAATTTTTATGCGTTTTTTGCAGCTATGCAATGCGAAAAACCCATATTGACGGGTGGTTGTGTGTGTGTGTATGTGTGTGTGCGTGTGTGTGTGTGTGGGTGTGTGTGTGTCCATGTTTGGGTCTGTCACGGTTTTTCATCTCAAGACCTACAAAAGCTACAGGGCTGAAACTTTGGGAACTTAATCTACATGCACGTACGGGCCCCAATCCCCAAAATTGGTGCCATTAGCCGCGTGTTACCCGTGTACGGGCCCGCCAAAATTTTTTTCGGGTAAGTTCATAACTCGGGGATCTGAGAAGCTAGGACGCTGAAATCTTAGGAGGATGTTCCCCTCCAAGTGGGTATTGGTGAGCTCAAACCCAGCCCCCGGGTAAGTGTGGTACCCGCGTACGAGCCCGCCAAAATTTTTTTCGGGCAAGTTCATAACTCGAGTACCTGAAAAGCTAAAGGACTGTAATTTTCAGAGGATATACCCCGTCCATCTAAGTTTCATCCAGCTCAAACCTAACTCTCGGGTATGCGTGTTAAACTCGCACGGGCCCATGAAAGTTTTTTTCCAGTTGTTGCTAACTCAGGGGCCAGGAAAGCTGAAATTTCAAGAGGGTGTTTTCTGACAGTTCTGGCGGCCAGTCTTAATTTGTTTAGCTATGAACATCTGCCGAAAAAGCCGGTGCCGGTAGCAACAAAAACTGCAGGGAACTATACAAAAAACGCATCTTCGCATGGGCAGCCCGTGTTTTGGCCAATTATTTTTTCGTGCATTTATATTTCATCTCTACAGTTCAATGAATGCGTCATGCTTGGGAGCGTTCTGCACTACACGGCTGCGGAAATTACGTGTGTTGCAACGTTATGACGAAGTGAAAACGTTGCAAAATGTGCTTCGGCAGAGTCAGGTTATGCAAATCAGTGGAGCGCCTCTGGTTTCACTACAACTTAGCGGCATGGCCCTGAAGCCGAATATGTTCGCTAAATTGTGCGATGCTTTGAAACAAACGCTCACTGAGTTATTTCTTGCTGGAGCACTCTGTAATCCACCGGATTTCGACCACTACATCACCGCTATCGGCACGTTTTTAAATTTGACCTTTTTTTAAAATGTTGCTGGAAATCCAGTCATCTAATGCTTTCTTGGGATACTTGAATTAGCTACAGCTTATGAGGTCGTTTCTCCTGTTGCTTTGATCAATACTGTATCGTCTGCCAGCGATTCTAACGCTCGCTTCTCCAGACGGGATTCCCAGCGACTTGTTTGCTAGTCACTCTGCTAGTCACAAATTGGATGTAGAGGTAATGACTCAGACAGGAGCAAAAAAGAAGTGGCGAAAAAAGGAACCGCAGTCGATACAGGAGAGGGAAGAAAGAGGGTGAAGCGGGAGGGAGCGCGAGCGGTGGGGGGGAGGGTGCAAAGTCTACCCAGAAGATTGGAGGGGTATGCAAAGTTTACCCAGAAGAGCGCAAGGTTTGCACTTTTCTTTGCACTCTTCTGAGTGCAAAGCTTGGGCTATCAGTTTTGGCCGATTTGCTCTAAACTTTCTTGAGAGAGTTCCTAACAGCCACGTTATTTTTAAATAACAAAACATTTTTCTCATGCTTCCTAAATTTGCACCATTATGCTAACGAGGTCCAGTTGCGGTGCCGATGCCGAACAGATGCAATGCCGAACATTAAAACATCGCTATTTACCGTATAAAACATCGCTATTTTTTGTTGATATTTTTTACCATGATTTTCAGGAACACTAAAACATCTGAAAATACTGGAAATTCCAGCCTCACTATTT